AAAGACTTGATAGTTTCCCCAAGATTACAATTTCTCCTGATCGATTCTGGTTCTGACTTCTTGCTTCCATGAAATAATCCATCTCTGCCTCTGCTGTACCTTTCCTATCCTGCAGCATCCTATCTGAACACTATGTAGCACACTTTATTTATTTATTTATTGTATTTTAGATGAAGGTTTACAAAACAAATTAGTTTCTCATTAAACAAGTAATACACATATTGTTTTGTGACATTGGCTGCCAACCCCGCCACGTGTCCACATTCTCCCCTTCTCGACCTCGGGTTCCCCATTTCCATTCGTCCAGCTTTCCTGTCCCCTCTTGCCTTCTCATCCTTGTTCTTAGACTGGTGTGCCCGTTTAGTCTTGTATACATGATTGAGCTACGTGTATTATTGTTTGTTATATTGGCCTGTCTAATCTTTGGCTAAAGGGTGAATGAACCTCAGGAGTGAGTTCAGTACTGAATTAAAAACGTATCTGGGGACATACCCTTGGTGTTTCTCCAGTCCCTGTCATACTGGCAAGTCTGGTCTTTTTTTGTGAGTTTGTATTTTGTTCTACATTTTTCTCCAGCTCTGTCCAGGACCCTCTATCATGCTGCCTGTCAGAGCAGTTGGTGGCGGTAGCTGGGTACCATCTAGTTGTGCTGGACTCAGTCTAGTAGAGGCTGTGGTAGATGTGGTTCATTAGTCCTTTGGACTAATCTTTCTCTTGTGTCTTTGGTTTTCTTCATTCTCCCTTGCTCCAGATGGGGTGGGACCAGTAGATGTATCTTAGATGGCCGCTCACAAGCTTTTAAGATCCCAGATGCTTATTCAGTAAACTTCATTGAAGATTTAGGAACGATGCTGCTGAGTGAGAGGGAGGGTAGAATGGTGAAGTTATATTTCAGCAAAGGACTGGATAGAAAATAGGAAACTGAATGTTAGATATCTCTGTTCTTAAAACTTTTTGCCTAATTTAAAAAAAAAAAAAGAACAAACCCTTTGTCATCAAGTCGATTCTGACTCATAGTGACCCTATAGGACAGAGGAGAACTGCTTCATAGGTTTTTCAGGGAGCAGCTGGTGAATTCGAACTGCTGACCGTTTGGGTAGCAGTCATAGCACTTAATCACTGCATCACTAGGGCTCCTTGACTACTTTAGTTGCCAGGAATTATCACTGGGTTAGGCCTATCTTTTATATTACCCATTCATCCTCACTAGTTCTTTGGCCCTCACTTGTTCCTCTGGCTATGCCTTGAGGCTCTTCTTAGCACACACAAGTCACTGTCAGTGTTTTGATAAACAAAGACAATTCTCACCTGCTCTTGAACTAATGTTAGTTTTTTTTTTTTTTCTTCCATGTATACTTTCATAGCATAAAAGGTGTAATGGCTGGATAAAATAAATGTTTTTGAATAAACTTATAGACATAGATCCATGATTACTTCTTCATTGATGGATTTCAGTAATCAAAATACAAGATCATTTCCTTTACTTGGAATAGACTCATAACTGGGTCTTAGATGAATAGCCAGGGCACAGTAAGGGATACAAGAGAATGTGCTATTTCTCAGTTACTGCAATATATAGATATTTCAGTTAAAGAAAACATTTACCAAGAACAATGCTCAGAATGCAAGTTGCTTGCTGAGACTGAAATTCATTTCCAGTGCCCGAACCCTTTTGGGGAGAAAGCTCAGGATAGTGGGTAGGAGCAAAGAGTCTAGACCAACTTCCTTGGTCTCTGAGACCAAGTGTCCTCCAGAAAATATGGCTACTGAATACCTACCTGCCTCGTAGGAGTTCTGTGAGCTACTTTTACTTCATGGAATGTAGTGCAGTTATTTAATATCTTTATAATTGTTAATGATAATTTATTAATAAAATATTAACGTATTTTTATTTAATGCAATCAATAATCTCATTCTTCTGAAATACAACACTTAAGAAGCCCACTGGCTGGAATTTTGAAAGCAACATTTATTTATACCTTAAATGAATAAAGAAAACATTAAAAACTCAGTGACGTCGAGTCGATTCTGACTCATAGCAACCCTACAGGACAGAGTATAACTGCATCTGTGGTTTCCAGGGAGTGGCTGGTGGATTCAAACTGCCAACCTTTTGGTTAGCAGCTGAACCATTAACCACTGCACCACCAGGTTTCTGAAAGTAAAGGTTTCTGAAAATACAGGTTTGTTCTTGTGACCTGTTGATAGTTATTGAACGTCTTGTGATTTATCTGATCGTTCACCCTCTCTTATTTTATTTTTTCCCTGCTTCTTCCATTTATCTATGTGTTTTCATTCTTAAAGTTTATTTTCCATCACATCACTTATTTGATCACTTTTTATACATTTTGTTAGCATATCTTCTATGGTTTCTAAAATCTTTACATGCAATTAAAATAGTTTTACAATTCTTAAAAATTTTAAACTTTTTATTACAATAATTGCTCAAGATGACATAAAGCAGTGACATAAATATAAATGATATAAAAGAGTATAATTTTTATGCTGTTTATTTAGTTCAAAATAAATGACACGTATTTTACGTATTGTTGCTGTTGTCATTGGGTGCAGTCAAGTTATACTAATGCTATAGGACAGAGTAGAACTGTCTCATAGGGATTAATCTAGACTATAATGTTTACAGGAGCAGATCACCAGATCTTTTCTCCCACGGAATCACTGGTAGGTTGGAACTGCCAACCATTCAGTTAGCAGCTGAGCTCTTAAGGATTAGGTAAATGCATGATCAGAAAAGCATATACTTTTTAAAATAAGCAGTTAGTATATATTTGTAACTCGAGTGAATCAATGTTTAAAATTAACAAGGGTGGACTTCACTTGGTCCCAATAAATGATTAAAGTAGCCAATGAACACAAACGGGACCCATTTTTATTTGGCTGAACATTGAAGGATGCACACAGACACACAAAAACACACATACACACACATCTCAGTTGTGCAGTAGCACCTGATTTGTGATACCCAACAAACAGGCCAGTTCTGCCATATTTACTTATCCAGTTTATATAAAATTCTTCTATCAAATGAGGTTATAAATAAAGCTCTGTTTGCTAGTGAAAAAAGGCGTGGAAACAGGAAATTTTCCTTATTTTCTCTCATACTTGACTTTCACTCATACTTGACTGTGTCTTAGCACAGTGAAATAAAGTGTTACCCTGAAAAAAAATTGTAGAGTATAAAGAAAGTAAATAAATGGTTTGCAAAAATTGATATAATTATTGAGTCTTTCTGGTGGGCAGGACCAAAAAGTTACCTGAATATCAATGATCAGGTTAGCAATGCCATAAGTCATTTACTCCTCAAAGTTATGAAGTATTGCTGCTCCCTTTTATCACTAAGGCCATTTGAGCTTGTTGTTGTGGTTGTGTGCCATAGAGTCGACTCCTACTCATAGTGACCCTATAGGACAGAGTAGAACTGCCCCATAGGGTTTCCTAGGCTATAAACTTTAAACAGGAGCACAGTGCTAGGTCTTTTCTCTCACAGATCTGCTAGTGGGTTAGAACCACAGATCTGTTAGCAGCTGAGTGCCTAACCACTGTACCACCAGGGGTTCTATTTGAGCTTAGAGAAAGCATAAGATACTTGTTGAATATGACAAAAGATCTATAATCAAATCCTGTGACAGCACAACCCTTGTGCTTTACCACCATGACAAGGTGAAATGACTTTACCTAGAGGTGAAATGCTGTGAAAACAATATTTCACTTCACATTTAGAAGTGAGGTTGTTTGAGGATGGTTTACATTTTATTCATTTATAAATAATTTGGACTTTTTTGGTTGGGGCATGGGAGGATGACATATACACTTCTCTGCCCACCTAATGTATGCATCTTTAGTTTCACTTTTCTCTATGTCAGCCCCTTTTTTATCCCTGTGACCATCTGTCAGTCAGTCTTGTGATGAGGGCATGATGAGGTATTACTTACATGAGGCATATTGTTAAACATAAGCCACAATGGCTGAGGGACTGTTTGATCTCTTCTAGTAGGTCCATTTAGGCTCACAGTACTTCTCTGCTCTTTCGATTTTCAGTGAACCTTATCTTTTTATAAAACTTTACTGGAATAAATGCAAAGTGACAAGAGGTATATAATGAAGGATTCTTATAAAGCCAGGAGCATTTCAGGTTGAATTTTGTGTTATCCTATTTCTAAGGAGAGATGCATGGAAAAAACTGTCTGATCATGGAGATCTTAATCCAAAGCTAAATGTACTTAAAAAATGTAACTCTGGCAAAGTTTATTTATAAATACAAGCCATTAAGAAATCATTTGCTTTTCACAATCTTCAAATTTCAGACAAGAATCTCTTTGTTATCATTTAAAAATAAACTGTAAAAAGGTGTATTTTTACATTACAAATAATTACACAAGTTAAAAATTTGTAAAACTGTAAAACTATCATACATAAATACTCGGCAAAAAGTACTTTTAATATTTTGTTGTGTCCTTCCAATCTTTTAATCTTTTCATCTGAACTTTATATAGGTTGTGTGCATAATATACACTTTATATCCTGCTAAAAATTATATCACAAATACCTTCTCATTTTGCTACATAATTCTTGTGTTATAGAATGTATACCTTCATATGATGTATCGAATAGTTGAATAATAATTTTCTTAAGTATTCATCATCCATTGAACATTTAGGTTAATAATTTTTTACTGCTGTCATTGTTCCTGTAGTAAACATCTTTAATCTGTAGCTTTGGAATATTTCCTGGATGTTGACTTACTTGGGCAAAGACCTTGTACATTTTCATAGCTAATAACTAATGTTGCCACAATGTAAGATGTTGTAATCTTACAAGGGCATTACACAGTTTGGAATGCCAGCAGTAACATTTAGGACTGCCAATTTACTACATCCCTGTAAATATTGTTTTTTATTTTATTTTTTTCAAAACCTGTTTGGGATTTTGATAAGTGAAAAATGGCACCTCATTATGTTCTTTTCTGCTTTTAATATTAGAATGAAGAAGGAGCCTCACAGGAAGGAATTCTTCAAGATATGCCTGTGGATCCTGACAATGAGGCTTATGAAATGCCTTCTGAGGTAAAAGTTTATATACATAATACTAAAGAAATAGTTCAGGAGTTCAAGTTGGGTCTTTGTTGTGGGCAGGAACAGAAATTTGTCCCTGTCAGATTTCCCTTTTGTTAGTCCTTAATGAGAATGATTTGCTCTCTTGATCCAAAAGAGTGGGCAAATGCAGACCATGGATTGTTTGAACAACTTGCAAGATAAGGATTATTTTTACATTTGAAAATGATAGTTAAAAAAGAAGAAGAAGAAAAAAAAATGACAGAGACCTGATGTCTCTGTCTATAAAGCCTAAAACGTTTACTACCTGGACCTTTACAGAAAAAAAATTTCTCTCCCCTTAACTAGAGAATTATTTTATTAGAAGCCTTACATTCTAAAATAAATTTCAAAATGAAAAGTTATAGAAATCAACTAAATGCCAAAGGAAGGTAATATTATTTGCCATACATTTCCAGTGGGATGTTTGCATAGTAAAACAAAGTGTTACCCCCCAAAAAAACTATAAAGTAGAAAGATAGTAAATACACGGTTTCCAACAATTAATATAATATTTCAGTCTAACATTTTAAACAGCATAATTTGATTGTAAATTTTTTTTTAATTTGGACATAAAAACTTCAATAGAAAATATAAGGGAACATAGAAAATACTTCAAAGCAAATGAAAATGAAACATACAAACATATGGGATGCACTTAGAGTGCTTAGAGAAAAATTCATAACTGTAAATAATTACATTCAAAAAGAAGAAACATGTCAAGTCAAAAATCTAATTTTCTACCTGAAGAAACTAAAAAAAGAAGAGTAAATGAAACGTAAACCACAAGGAGGAAGAAAATAATAAAAACTAGAGTGGAAATTAATAAAATGGAAAACAGAAAAACAAAAGAGAAAATCAACAAAACCAAAAGTTGATACTTTGAAAAGATCAACAGAAGTGACAAACCTTTTGTTAGACTGACAAAGAAAAAAAGAGAGAAGACTCAAACTACTAAAATCAGGAATGAAAGAGGGAACATCACTACTGGCCTTACAGAAATAAAAAGGATTATAAGAGAGTAATATGATAAACTATATGCTAACAGATTAGACAACCTAGATAAAATGAACATACTTCTAGAAAGACACAAATTACAGAAATTGACTCAAGAAGAAATAGAACATCTAAATAAACCTATAACAAAGTAAAGAGATGGAATTAGTCATCACAAACATTCCCACAAAGAAAATCCGAGGCCTAGGTGGCTTGTCTGGTAAATTCTACCAAGTATTTAATTAAAGAATTAATGCCACCCAATTGCAATTAATACCAATTAATTTCTCTTCCAAAAAAATAGGAGGGACCACTTTCCAACTCATTCTATAATGCCAGTATTATTCTGAAATTAAAACCAGATAAAGGCATCACAAAAAAAGAAAATATATCATTACTCCATTAAAAATTGAGTTACAAAATGTTGCAGTTAGTTTATGAATTAGTCTTCATGCCTTGTTATAAGAGGTATTGATAATAATCCCCTTTATAGATATTGAGATTAATTTATCTAATTAGATTTTACAAATATTCTTAGATTTTTTTATTTTTATTCTTTTTTTTAATGTAAGACACAGTGCTAAAAACCATAACCATTTGCTGACTCATGATGATTCTGACTCATGGCAAACCCAAGTGTGTCAGAGTAGAATGGCACTATATAGAATTTTTGGTGACTGTGACCTTTCAGAAGATCACCAGACCTTTCCTCCCAGGAAAGGGTGGATTAGAGCTGCCATCATTTCCATTAGTAGCCAAGCACTTAATCATCTGTGCCACCCAAGCTAAACATGATAGAAAATATAAAAAAGAATAACTGATAGTACTAAGGCACAAGGATTTTATAATCTACTAGTTGTGATAAGAACAAATACAAATTCATTTATTTATTCAGCCATGATTCCTTTGAGAAACAAATTGTTACTGTCTTCTATGCACCAGGCACCAAAAGGGCAAAAATATACAAGGTAAACAAAATGGTGAGGAATCCTGTGGTGCAATGGTTAACCTCTCTGCTGTTAACCAAAAGTTCGGCAGTTTGAACCCACTAGCAGCTCAGAGGGAGAAAACACCTGGTGATCTGCTCCTCTAAAGATTATAACCTAGAAACCCTATGGGGCAGTGCTGCTTTGTCACATGGGGTCCCTATGATTCAAAAGGGTGTCCCCTAAGAGGTGGCACCTTTAAACAACAACAACCCAAAAATTTATAACATTTTGTGGGCAAAGAAATGAACACAAGCAAACAGGACGTTCAGGCAGCTAACAAACACATGAAAAGATAGTTGAGATCATTAGCTATTGTTGTTGTTAGGTGCTCTCCAGTCAGTTCTGACTCACAGTGATTCCATGCACAACAAAACAAAACACTGCTTGGTCCTGTGCCATCCTCACAATCATTGATATGTTTGAGCCCATCGCTGGAGCCACTGTGTCAACCTATCTCCTTGAGGGTCTTCTTGTTTTTCACTGACCCTCTACTTTACCAAGCGTGATGTCCTTCTCCAGGAACTGATCCCCCCTGAAAACTTGTCCAAAATAAGTGAGATGAACTCTCACTATCCTCACTTCTAAGGAGCATTCTGGCTGTACTTCTTCCAAGACAGATTTGTTTGTTCATCTGACAGTCTATGATATATTCAATATTCTTCTCCAACACCGTAATTCGATTGCTTCAATTCTTCTTCAATCTTCCTTATTCATTGTCCAGCTTTCACATACATGTGAGGAGATTGAAAATACCATGATTTGGGTCAGGCTCACCTTAGTCCTCAAAGTGACATTTTTGCTTTTTAACACTTGAAAGAAGTCATTTGCAGCAGATTTGTCCAGTGCAATACGTGGTTTGATTTCTTGACTGCTACTTCCAGGGTTGTTGATTGTGGACCCCAGTAAAATGAAATTCTTGACAACTTCATTATTTTCTCCATTTATCACGATGTTGCTTACTGATCCAGTTGTAAGGACTTTTTTTTTAAAAAAAAATGTAAAGGTGAAATTCATACTAAAGGCTGAAGTCTTTGGTCTTCATCAGTAAGTGCTTCAAGTCCTCTTCACTTTCAGCAAGCAAGGTTGTGTCATCTGCATATGGCAGGTTGTTGAGTCTTCCTCAAATCCTGATAGCACTTTCTTCTTCATATAATCAAGATTCTTGGATTATTTGTTCAGCATATAGACTGAATAAATACAGTGAAAGGATACAACCCTGATGTATACTCTTCCTAATTTTAAACCATGCAGTATCCCCTTGTTCTGTTGGAACTACTGCCTCTTGGTCTATGTACAGGTTCTCCATGAGCACAATTAAGTGCTCTGGCATTCCCATTCTTTGCAATGTTAACCATAATTTGTTATGATCCATACAGCCAACTGGCTTTACATAGTCAATAAAACACAAGTAAATATATTTCTGGTATTCTGTTTTCAGCCAAGATCCATCTGACATCAGCAATGATATCCCTTTTTCCACCTCCTCTTCTGAATCCAGCTTGAACTTCTAGCAGTTCTCTGTTGATGTACTGCTGTGACCATTTTTGAATTATCTTCAACATAATTTTACTTGCATGTAATATTAATGATATTATTTGATAATTTCCCCATTTCTTTGGGTTCTTTGGAATAAGCATGAATATGGATATCTTCCAGTCAGTTGGCCAGGGAGCTGTCTTCCAAATTTCTTGGCATAGACGAGTAAATTCTTCCAGCATTGCATACATTTATTGAAACGTGTAAATTGGTCTTCTGTAATTTCTGGAGCTTTGTTTTTCTCTCATGCCTTCAGTGTAACCTGGACTTCTTCCTTCAGTACCATTGGTTCTTGATTATATGCTACCTGTTGAAATGGTTAAACATCGACCACATCTTTTGGTACAGTGACTCTGTGTATTCTTTCCATCTTCTTTTGATGCTTCCTGCATCGTTCAGTATTTTTCCCAATGAATCCTTCAACATTGCAACTCGAGTTTTGAATTTTTTCTTCAGTTCTTTCTGCTTTAGAAATGCCAAGCATGTTCTTTCCATTTGGTTTTCCATCTCCAGGTCTTTGCACATGTCATTATAATACTTTACTTTGTCTTCTCTAGCTACCTTTTGAAATCTTCTGTTCAGCTCTTTTACTTCAGCATTTCTTCCTTTTGCTTTAGCTACTCTACGTTCGAGAGCAAGTTTCAGAGTCTCTTCTGACGTCTGTTTTGGTCTTTTCTTTCTCTTCTGTCTTTTTAGGACCTTTGCCTTCTTCATTTATGATGTCCTTGATGTCATCCCACAAGTCTGCTGGTCTTCGGTCCTTAGTGTTCAGTGCATGAAGTCTCTTCTTGAGATGTCTCTAAATTCAGGTGGGATATACTCAAGGTTGTACTTTGGTTCTCATGGACTTGTTTTAATTTTCATCAGCTTCAACTTGAACTTGTATAGGAGCAGTTGATGGTCTGCTCCACAGTTGGCCCCTGGCCTTGTTCTGAGTGATGATATTGAGCTTCTCCATAGTCACTTTCCACAGATGTAGTTGATTTGATTCTTGTGTATTCCATCCAGCAATGTCCATGTTTAATGTCACTGTTTATGTTGTTGAAAAAAGGCATTTGTAATGAAGAAGACATTGGTCTTGCAAAATTCTGTCATGTGATCTTTAACATTGTTTCTATCACCAAGATGGTATTTTACAACTACCGATCCTTCTTTCTTTCCAACTTTTGCATTACATTCACCAGTAATTATCCGTGTATCTTGATAGCATGTTTTATCAATTTCAGACTGCAGAATTTGGTAAAAACCTTCCAATTTTTTTTTATCTTTGGCATTAATGGTTGCTGGGTAAATTTGAATAATAGTTCTATTAACTGGTCTTCATTGTAGGCATATGAATATTATGACAGCATTGTACTTCAGGATAGATATTGAAATGTTCTTTTAGACAATGAGTGCAACGCCATTCCTCTTTAATTTGTCATTCCCGGCATAGTAGACCATGCGATTGTTTGATTCAAAACGGCCAATACCAGTCTATTTCAGCTCATTAATGCCTAGGATATTGATCTTTATGTATTCCATTTCATTTTTGATGACTTCCAATCTTCCTTGGTTCATACTTCATAAATTCCATGTTCTGATTACTAAATGGATGTTTGCTGCTGTTTCTTTACATTTTGAGTGGTGCCATATAAGCAAGTTAAGGTCTGAAAGCTTTATTCCATCCATGTCATTAAGGTCAACTCTGCTTTGAGGAGGCAGCTCTTCCCCAGTTGTATTTTGAGTGCCTTCCAACCCGAGGGGCTCATTTTCTGGCACTATATTAGACAGTGTTCCACTGCTATACATAAGGTTCTCACTGGCCAGTTTTTCAAAAGTATATCACCAGGTCCTTCTTCCCAGTCTTTCTTAGTCTGGCAGCTCTGCTGAGATGTGTCCACCGTGTGTGACTCTGGTGGTATTTGTAATACTAGTGGCATAACTTCCAGCATCACAGCAACACACAAGCCACCACAGTATGACAAACTAACATGAAATTGGTGCTATTAGAAAGATGCATATCAAAAGTAATAATGAAATACCATCTCACCCCTGCAAAAATGGCACTGATCAAAAAAATAGAAGACAACAAATACTGGTGAGACTATGGGGAGATTGGAACTCTTATACACTGTTGATGGGATTCTAAAATGGTACAACCACTGTGGAAAATGATGTGGTGCTTCTCAAAAATCTAGACATAGAAATACCTTATGATCCAGCACTACCATTCCTAGTTATGTACCCTAGACATCTAATAGCAGTGACATCAATAGACATATGCACACATATGTTCATTGCAGCATTATTCACAGTAGCAAAATGATGAAAATAATCTAAGTGCAAATCAATGGATAAATGGATACACAAACTGTGGTGCATATATACAATGGAATATTATGCAGCTATACAAAATAATGATGAGTTCTTGAAACATCGTATAACATGGATGAATCTGGAGGACATTATGCTTTGTGAAATACATCAATCACAAAAGGACAAATATTGTGTGGTCTCACTTTTATAAAAAGACAGGAATAGATATACATACACACTGAAAGCAGCATTCTTTGATGATTACCAGGGATGAGAGGGGGAGGGAGGAGGAATCACTTTCTAGATAGTAGACACTTGTTATTTTTGGTGATGGGAAAGGCAACAATACTCAATATGGGTGAAGTCTGCACAATTTGACCAAGGTAAATGCCGACACTAATAAGTACACAAGAATAAGGGACAATTCTAGAAAATGCTGTAACATATACAATTTTTCAAAAATAGTAATAACAACTGAAAAATACATTTGTGGTTATATAGGTAGATATGTATGCATATATGTGTAGAGACAGGCACATGTGAGTATATAGGTGTGCGTGTATAGGTATATCTGTAGGCATATGTGTATTCATGTTTATGTGTGCTGCTTATATATTCATATATATAATAAAACACATAAGGGGCATAGTTGTGGATACTTCCTAGACATAACCAAACACCTCTCAGGTTTGGTTTACTGGGTTTGAAAGCTTAGGACCATAGTCTTGCGGGACAACTAGGTCAATTGACATAACATAGTTCATAAAGATACTGTTCTATATCCTAGATTGGTGAGTAGTGTCTGGGGTCTTTAAGGCTTGCTAGTGACCATCTAAGATACAACTATTGGTCTATACTTGTCTGGAGCAAAAGAGAAAGAAGGAAACCAGAGATTCAAAGCAGAAACTAGTCTATAGCACTAATAGCTTACATGAACCATAGCCTTATCTATCTTGAGACCAGAAGAACTAGATGGTGCCTGGCTAACATTAATAGCTGTTCTGACTAGGGCCACAATAGATGGTCCTGGATAGAATGGGATAAAAATGTAGAACAAACCTCAAATTCCTAAAAAAGACCAGACTTACTGCACTGTAGAGACAGGAGGATCCCCCGAGACTGTCACCCTGAGATGCCCTTTAAACTTTGAGCTGAACCCACTCCCAGAGGCCACTTTTCAATCAAATAATAGATTGACTCATAAAATAAATGATATCACCGTGAGTACTGTGTTCCTTTATATAATCAGCTATATGAGACTAAATGTTCAATATATACCCTGAAGGCAAAGGTGAGAAGGTAAGGGAGGAGCAGGAAAGCTAGATTAATGGAAACAGAACAAACAGAATGGAAATAATGAGAATGCTGACAAATTGTGAAAAATTTAACCAATGTCACTGAAAAATATGTACAGAAATTGTTAAATGGGAACCAAATTTGCTGTGTAAACTCTCACCAAAAATACAATAAATAAAAAGTTATAACATTTTAAAGGATCTGTTTAGATCAGTAAGGAAAAATTTTATAGAAGAAGTGGTATTGATCTAGGCAGGAGAGAGGGGAGGACGATATGAGAGACGAATATGAAGGGATGATATTCTAGAACAAGGGAATATCAGAAGCCAAGGCATGTATGTCTGAGAATGCATATGCATATGTCTGAGAAGCAGCCAGTAATTGCATATGACTCAAAGTTTAGGGAATAGAGACAATATGACAGATTAAGGCTGCAGAGTTGAGTCAAAGACAAATTGCAGAAGCCCATTGCCATTGAGTCAATTCCAACTTATAGTGACCCTATATGACAGAGTAGAACTGCCTCATAGGGTTTCCAAGGCTGTAATCTTTACAGGGAGCCATGGTGGTGCAGTGGTTAAGAGCTCACCTGCTAACAAAAAGGTCAGCAGTTTGAATCCATCAGCCACTCCTTGGAAACCCTATGCAGCAGTTCTACTCTGTTGTATAGGGTTGCTACGAGTCGAAATCGAATCAACAGCAATGAGTTTGGTTTTGGTTTAAGTAAACAAACTGGAACATTTTTCTCCTGTGAAGCGGCTGGTGGGCTGGAACTACCAAACTTTCGGTTAGCAGCTGAGCTCTTAACCACCTTCAAATTATAGAGTACTAGGAAAACCTTGCCAATTATATTTGTACTTTATTCAGCAAGCAAGGTGGGTTATTGAAGCTATGTGTTTTGTTTGCTTTTAGGCAGTATCCTGACATTATTAAAGTTGTTCTTTGGGAGGACTAATCTGACTACATTAGTTATGGCCATTTTTATAGTGAAAGTTACCCAGATATGTTGGGGAGGGGGAAACTTCGGGATACAGGTAATCATTAAAGCCATGGATGTAGATGAGATTTTCAACTGAGAAAGGGAAAGGAGAGAAAAGGTCCTCTGCCTTCAAATTACTTCATTTTATTCCAAGAATTAGAGTATCTTAACCCTGGAAGAAGCTTTAGAAGCCACTTAATATGGCTTTTTGATATGGCTTAATATTTTGCAATTGAGGAAACTGAGAGCCAGATAGGTCAACTACTTTTCTCCTAGAGTACTAGTTCGTACTATTGTCCAATGGCACATCCAGAACTAGAACCCCAATGCTCTGACTCTGATAACTACCATTTAATTACACAAATTCATTTTCATAGTTGACAGGTAAGGCATATTTATTAAAAATAAAGTTATGATAGGCAATAGATAAGTGGTAACTTTGGTGAAGGGTAAGACAGTACACAATACTGGGGAGGCCAGCACAACTTGTACAAGGAAAGGTCATGGAAGCTCCATAGACACATCCAAACTCCCTGAGGGACTGAATTGCTGAGCGGAGGGCTGTGAGGTCCATGGTCTCTGGGAACATCTAGCTCAGTTGGCATAACACAGTTTATAAAGACAGTGTTCTACATTCTACCTTGGTGAGTAGCGTCTGGGGTCTTAAAAGCCTGTGAGCAGCCATCTAAGATACTCCA